AGAAGGCCACTAGGTTAGTCAGGCAGGACTTGCCCTTGGTGAAGCCATGCTGGCTGTCTCAAATCACCTCCCTGTCCTCCATGTGCCTTAGCATAGCTTCCAGGAGGATCTGTTCCATGATCTTCCCAGGCACAGAGGTGAGACTGACTGGCCTGTAGTTCCCCGGATCTTCCTTTTTTCCCTTTTTAAAAATGGGGGTTATGTTTCCCCTTTTCCAGTCAGTGGGAACTTCACTGGACTGCCACTTCTCAAATACGATGGATAGTGGCTTAGCAACTTCATCCCCCAGTTCCTTCAGGACCTGCGGATGGATCTCATCGGGTCCCATGGACTTGTGCACCTTCAGGTGCCTTAGATGGTCTCGAACCTGATGTTCTCCCACAGTGGGTGGCTCTTCATTCTCCCAGTCCCCGCCTTTGCCTTCTGTGACTTGGGTGGTGAGGCTTGAGCACTTGCCAGTGAAGACCGAGGCAAAAAAGTCATTGAGTACCTCCGCCTTCTCCGTACCCCAGGTAACCAGGTCTCCCGTTTCATTCCAGAGAGGGCCCACATTTTCCCTTGTCTTCCTTTTATCCCCAACGTACCTATAGAATCTTTTCATGTTGCCCTTGATGTCCCTGGCCAGATTTAATTCTATCAGGGCTTTAGCTTTCCTTTCTCAAGTCAGGTCTACAGGATTTTGGAAAAGTAATGTCTTTTGATTGTTAGTGGGACCTATTTTTCATAGGCATTTTGAAAACTTCCACTATAAGAACCACTTTAAGGTTCTAAAATCAAAATATAGTCTATCTATCTTAGTTCTTTTAGATCATCAATTCAAAATAGTTAAGATTTGCAATGAAGCCTTGCACTCACAGAATAAATTTATGTCGATCTGTTCTCAGTTTTATATCTTGGCTATTCATACATTTCTGGGTAATTACATAGACAATTCAATAAAATGGCCAAATTCAATTTTTTTAAATAGTCATATTTTCAAACATACTAATTTCTTCAGAAGTTGCTTTTTTTTCTCCTTCAATCCAATTGCAACTGGAGATGCTTACAGTTCACCAGGGACCTTTATAATTAAAACTGTAACAGCCTGAAATTATTTTCCAATTATTACTCAACGCACCAATCGGTGGAGCAATACTGTTTATATTTGTCACTAGAAATTACTGTGATTACTTTTCTCTTGGCTTTCACATGTGTCACTAAAAAAGCTAAAAGGAAGTAAAATGGAAAAACAGAGAAGGATTTCTGAAAGACTATGGATCCAGTATCACTGATC